TTAAAGGCACACATAAAACATCCATAGACAATCAGTATCCATTTTCAAAAGCGCCGGAAACAATTATAGTGCAGAGCAGAGATTCCTAAATCCAACCGTACCACTACATAGGTGTTAGTCCTGGTGGTATTCTCAAATTGGCTCAATTTGATCGAGTAATTACACGGCGGAATAGACTGAGGGTGGTAAAACCAGGGCACAGGGTTACTCCTTGGTGTTTAAGGCAGCTCCTAATCGAAAGCGTGGTGGAAGAGCTCCATCTTACAGGCCCTGCGGGACTGCAAAAGGTCCCACAGGGCCCTGATCTCCTCCGGGAGCTCATTCCACCAGTACAGAGCCGCCACCGAGAAGGCCCTGGCCCTGGTTATCGCCAGTCTAGCATCTTTGGGGCCTGGGAGGGCCAGTCGGTTTTGAGCTCCTGAACGGAGTGCTCTCTGGAGAACGTATGGGGAAAGGTGGTCCCTCAGGTATACCGGACCCTGACCATAAAGGGCAGCACCATGTAGTGTCCCTTGGAAAAAACCGAGTCTTGCATGTGATCTCATACATTTGTTGGGACTTTTGTGGATTCCCCTGTCAATCAATAGCTCCCACGGCTAGGAATCCATTGCTTTTGCTTGTATTTCGAGTAAAAAATAATATTGTTAATTGGGTTTGCCTGCGTCCTTTATAAAGCTTCTATCTCCGGTACCTAACATTACATTTTATGGCACATGTGACATTTATGTCAGATCCGGCCCTCGTAACAAATGAGTTCGACATCCCTGCTGTAGGCTTCTCAAGGCAAAAGAGGTTCAGAGGTGGTTTGCCATTACCTGCCTCCGTGTCGTAACGCTGGCATTCCTTGGAGGTCTCCCATCCAAATGCTAGCTGGGCCTGACCCTGCTTAGATCCGATGAGATCGGGCTAGCCTAGGCTATTCAGGGCTAACCTGGAGTTAGAAAGCCAGGAAACCACCCACCATCTGTTGGTTCTGTCCACTGAAAGGATGCGAAAGAGCCCATCTCACACCAACCCTTCAGTGGCCCTGTGAACACTAACATTAAGGGTAAACTAATATGGATTATGTAGTCTTGAAGACGTTGCCATCCTTCAGGTGGGGCCTGGAGATCTCCCAGGACCTCCTGTTTTCCGCCGTCCTCTGAAGTTGGCTCAATTTCATCTTCGTTGCATCTATGACACTGTCTAACCATCTCATCCTTTGCCGTCCCCATCTTCTTTGTCCTTCAGTCTTTCCCAGCATCAGGGTCTTCTCCAGTGAGGGCTCCCTTCTTATTGGGTGGCCAAAGCATTTGAGCTTCAGTTTCATTATCTGGCCGTCCAGGGAACAGTCAGGGTTGATTTCTTTGAGGATTGACTGATTTGATCTTCTTGTACCTTTTTTACTTAGGAGTCTTTGATGAGGAACTTTATCAAAAGCTTTCTGGAAGTCAAGGTAAACAATATCCAGGGGTCATTTCATAGAAAAAGAGCTAGGGGAACTCATTAGCATAACTCATTAGCATATGTCACACCCCCTGTCATCAGGGGCCCGGCGGTGGACCTGCAAGGCCAGCGGGAGTGCGAGGAAGCCCCGCCAAGGCCCTCCCTGGCCCCAGGCAGGCAGGGGTGGGGAGAAGCAGGGAGGAAGCAACTTACCCTCCCTCTTCTCCTGCCTCCTCCTGGCTGAATGAGGGCCGGAAGCGGGGCGGCCGGAAGCAGGGGGCGGGGCTCCATCATGTGCCCCGCCCCCCGCACCTCACCCGGGGGGAACTGCGTTCCCCCGCATTCCCCCCCGAAATGACCTCTGCTCAAGAGTCTTCTCCAGCACCATAGTTCAAAAGAATCTATTCTTCGGCGCTTGGCCTTCCTTATAGTCCAACTCTTGCAGCCATACATGACAACTGGGAGTACCATTGCTCTGACCGTGCAGACTTTTGTTGGCAGGGTGATGTCTCTACTTTTTATCATGCTGTTTAGGTTCACCATCGCTTTTCTCCCAAGGCTGAAACCCCACCCACCGCTCCCCAAACTCCGCCCTCTGCAGTCTCCACTCCCAAATCGCCAGGAATTTCCCAAGACAGATCTCGCAACTCTGATACAAATCACACTTTTTAAAACATGGAGTCATTGGTGAACACATTTGGTTGAGATCTCTCTCTCCTTGTCCTGTGAAGCTTGTCAGTTTCCAGAAGAGATACTTGTTTGAATGTGGATGCGTACTTCCCACAATTAGAAAAAACACCTTTAGACATTTATCTGCTATTTCAACATATTTATTGCTTTACAACGGTTGACCTTGTAACCTTAACTTGTTATTTAGTTTTTCACTTTGCATAACCTAAACTTTGTTGGTCTTAAAGGTGCCATTGGACTCTAACTTTGTTCTTAAACAGCATCATGTGACATGTTAATTCGCTGTTAGATCCCTGTCTATAAGTTTAGAAACTTGGCGTACCATGCACATGAGAGCCCATACCTTGAAAAAACCTTTGTTGGTCTTAAAGGTGCCACTGGACATTCAAATTTGTTTGAATGTTGGCATTCAAGCCTCCCCCCTCCCATGTGTCCTTTTTCCCAATCAGAAACAACCATTTGTCCCACTGGGGACATGCATATGGGTCCCCATGTTGCAGAACAGATATTGTTCCCTGTTCATGTTCAAAAATTAGGGGTGTGTGCCCCCGTTTCCTTTTTAGTATTTATTAATGGATTTGTCTCCTGTTCTTTCCAGAGCAGTCCTCGAATGAGCTCTCTCAGCCCCACCTACCTCACAGGATGTCTGTTGTTGGGAGGGGATAGGAAAGGTGATTGTAAGCTGCTCTGAGACTCCTTCGGGTAGTGGCAGGGTATAAACCCAATCTCTCCTTCTTCTCTCCAGGGTCTCTTTCACATCACCTCCTGCCTGGCCCTTTTTAAGCTGGAGATCCTGGGGATTGAACTGGGGACCTTCTGCGTGCCAAGCAGAGGTTCTGCCATGGAGCCACAGCCCCACTTCCCCACTTCATGGCTGTCCAGGATCTCAGGTGGAGGTCTTTCCCATCACCTGCTTCCTGGTCCTTTTACCTGGAGATGCTGGGGATTGAACTGGGGACCTTCTGCATGCCAAGCAGAGGTTCTGCCACAGAGCCACAGCCCCACTTCATGGCTCTCCAGGGTCTCAGGTGGAGGTCTTTCCCATCCCCTGCTGCCTGGTCCTTTCAACCGGAGATGCCGGGGATCGAACCTGGGACCTTCTGCCTGCCAAGCAGAGGCTCTTCCACAGAGCCACAGCCCCACCATGGCTCTCCAGGGTCTCAGGCGGAGGTCTTTCCCATCCCCTCCTGCCTGGTCCTTTCAACCGGAGATGCTGGGGATTGAACCGGGGACCTTGTGCATGCCAAGCAGAGGCTCTTCCACTGAGCCGCGGCCCCTCCCTGCTCTTCCTATATTCGGAATTCTCTGAGAACCATAATATTTATCCAAAGATGTCAGCATTCCCACCCGAGTGTCAACAGACACCAAACGGCAGACATTCAGAGGGCCAAATTCGAGGCTCATCAGCAAAGCTGAATTTGAGAACCCTCCCAAAGCAGAGTTGGGTGTGGTTTTAAGGGGGAGACGTCGAGTCCCCACCACTTCTCCCCTGCAACTAATTTTCTCTACAGGGGCCAGGACTTTAACCAGGGCATCAGAAAGGACAGGGATCCCAGCTTCTTATGTAAGCCTGCAGAGAAACCTGGAAGCTTTATTGATTCAATGGCATCCATGAAGTTTGCTGTTGTTGGCTTCTGGCTGCTGGAGACATGCTTGCCTCCGTCTTGTGCCTACTACTGCACTTGACTCCTGACTGCCTGCTGACTGCAGGAAGACCACTGCTGGTTGGCTGCAAAACAGGACAGCAATAGTATGTGAACGTCTCTGAAATGTAGTATATTAACGATATTTAATTCTGCATTAGAAACAGTGTGTGTGCTTGTGGGAGGGGTAAATCATGGAAGAGAGCAATGAAAGTAAGGTTTTGCCAGTTCTTCTTGGGTGCCAAATGTTTTTAGATTTCCTACTGGCAGTGGTGTACCAAAGGGGGTGGGCGTGATCC